GTAAGCAGCAGCCCTCCATGATTCCGGACTTTCCTGCCTGACGCCTGTGCTGACGACAGTGACAGACTGTGACCTGCTGAGTGACTGACTGACTAAGATGAAATAAACCCACCCCATGCTGGCCTTGGTCACAGTGGTCATATTTGACCACTGATCCCAAGAACAGGAGCAAACTAGGACTTTCTAAAGGTTTAAATAATCAGTTCACACTTGTACCATACACCATGGTACTCACACACAACAATAATAAAGTGTAATTTTTAAAAAGTTAAAATGCTGACTTGGAGCTATGGCTCAATTGGTAGAATGCTTGCTTAGCATGCTTGAAGCCCTGGGTTTGATCTCATCACCTAAGAAAAATGCAGAGCAGTGGTGTGCCTTTTGTGGGTGGGCGGTGGAGACAGGATCTTTCTATATAGCCCCAGTTGTCCTAGAACTCACTCTGTAGCTCAGTCTGACCTTGAATTCACAGAGACCCACATGCCTCTGCCTCCAACATGGTAGGATTGGGGGTGAGTTCTCATTCTGGGCCAGCAGTGTTCATTTGTAACACCAGCACTCAAACAATGGAGTCAGGAAGTTCAGAAGCCCAAAGTTTTTGAAGCAGCCAAGACAACTCAGTGGATAAAAGGCACGTGCCAGGCATTCTTGACCCTAGTTGATTCCAGGATGCTTGTAAAGGTAGAATGAGAGAACTGATCCCACAATGTTGCCCTCTGATGTCAGACGCACACACACACACACACACACACACACACACACACACACACACACTGTGGCACCTAGGCTTCCCCTCAACATTAATACTTAGAGAAGTTCAAGATCATACTCAACAAAATATCAAGTTGACAGCCTGGGTGCCAATAGACTGTCTCAAAACAAGAGTATACTTTCTGTTAAATGCAAATGACTTTTGCACCACTGTAATGTAGATGAAAAACAAAACAGAGGCCAGGTGTATCTTTAATCCCAGCATTCAGGAGCCAGAGGCAGAAGGATGCCAGCTAGGGCTATAGTGAGACCTTGCCTCAGAACGAACAAGTTGAACTATTGTAAGTTGGAGGCCATCCATCCATCCATCCATGGCGACACCACTTTTCCTCATTCTGGTACCACATTGCACTGTGTCTTCCTAGTGTGCACAACTGTGACTCTCGGCCATTGTAAAAAGGCACATAAACTTTTTTTGTTCTTGTTTTTGTAGTTGTTTGTTTATTTGTTTGTTTTTAGACAGGATCTCACTATATAGTCCTGAATGGCCTGGAACTCTCTATGTAGACCAGGCTGCCCTTGAACTCACAGAGATCAACCTACCTCTGTCTCCTGAGTGCTTTGGATTAAAGTCATCAGCCATCCTGCCTGGCTTAGATGAACTTTTAAAAGAAGTTAAACTTGTATGTAAGTTTTGTTTGTCATATGTTTTGAGATTGCAAGCCCCCTGCCTCAGTCCCTCCAAAGCCGAGCTTACAGTGGTAAGCACCATACTTGGCCAGAGTGAACTTGTGCTTATGAGCTTCAACGTGGCTTCCTATTTAGGGTGGTTACATAGTTTCCTTTTTAAATGCATTTGAGTAAAAAAAGATAAAGGGGTGATTTTTCAATGCTAAGTAAATACAATATAGCACGTGTGCCTCATGGGACAGAACTGGAAGGAACGCTGTGTGAGAGATGACGCTGGGGAAGCCCCGCGGCACCCAGCATAGCAGTTGCTACGGCTATGACTAGTACTAGCATTATCATTAAGGAGTGTCAGTAGAAAATTAACTTTGAGTCATCCTGAAATTTATATGAATGTATATGTGTGTGTGTGTGTATGTGTGTGTGTACATATATGACCAGTCAGGCCTTGAATTTTTGAGAAAGGACTGGTTATAGAAAAACCACAAGAATTAACAAATAGTGAGCTTCTCAATTCTCTACAAGAGGCTGGGGATCCTTTCAGCTATGGAAATCTCAGAAGTTTCTGGAAGGCCCTGAAGGGAAAGAAGTCAGTGATTTCTCTAGTTCTAATAAGGAATCCCCGAAACTGAGAGAATCAAACATTAGACTAGAATCAGACTAGATGAAAATGGGGTAGAAAAGAGGGACATTCTGCTCAGGCTCCTTCCTGATCTGAGATATCCAAGGTTCTGAGAACTGCTGTAACAGTTCCTGGCACAGAGGCTGTGCCCGAGACAGGTGAGGCAGAGGGCTGTCTACCAGAGGTCAAGAGTAAGCGGTGGTGTGTTCCTCTCCTAAGAAGCAGCTGCTCAAGGGCCCAGCAGCCAAGACTGACCATGACCACTGGGGGCCAGGGTGTTCCTGACCTTCATTTTCTCTCTGGCAGAAAGGAGGTTGCTCTCAAACACTTCCTTAGAAGATCTACAATCTAGTGTCGCCCAGGACCCTGTGTTTCTCAGGCATACCATCAAAGGGGAAAGAAGGGGAAAGGTCATGGTTGGCAACCTGAGCTCCTAGTCTCATGTGATATTGGTTGAGGCTGCATGACTCTAAATGAGCCATGAAGCACGCTGTAACTTACTATATGTAGTGTAGTATGAACTTGCAAATCTCTGGGCCTTAGATTTCTGTTTGGAAAAATGGGAACACTAGTAATGTGCCCCATTGGGTTACTATAAAGATTAAATGGAATCATAACTGTAAAATCCTGTTGCAGGGCAGGTGCAGATGCCATGGGCAGACTGCTGTCTTAGCATGTAGCCCTGCATTTGGTGCCCCACAGAAAACAAACACTACAAACAAATGAACAAACAACCATGTCCTAGGACAGCAGCCCAAAATATGGGAGCTGTTGCCATGGTTTCTGAAGCTGACACCCAAATGCATGCTGCTGCAAACGCGCTGCCCAGAGGTGGTGCTACCAATGCTGTTTTAGGTTCTAAAGCTGAAAGTAGTACCATGTGTCCTTCTTTACAAAGTCTGAGCTTCGGCCCCACCCTGGTAAAATAACAAGCAACTAGCAGATGTCAAAACAATGAATGATTTGTGCTAAGTAGAGTGGCTCACACTTTTGATATCGGTATTCAAGAGAGGCAAAAGCAGGCAGATCTCTATGAATTCAAGGCCTGTCTGGTCTACATAATTCCTCCACAGCCAAGAGATACTATTTAAAAAAAAAAAAAAAGCCCACTCCATCACCACAAGGACAATTTTCACAAAACCACCTGCTGAAAGAAATATCTGTGAGCCTGTTAGGCTGGTGTGGCATCCCAGAGGAGAGATCAACAAAAGGCAGGGAGAAGCCACATTAGAGAAATGCAAAGATAAGGCTTTTGACTCAGTCTTGCAATCTGGGTGGCATCATCGCAGGCATCCTGGATAGAAAACCAGAACCTTCCAGAGCAGGTGGTTGGTTGGTAATCAGGTTTCCATCCACAGGAAGCCGTTGCCCTGAGGTAGAATTTGACACCCTTCAAGGAAGCCAGGCCTATTCTTGACACTAAGGAATCCAGGCACTTCTGAGAGCACTGAGATAGGGCCAGATAGGGTGACGCTATGAGTCCTGGCTGGCCTGGAACTACATAAACTAGGCTGGCCTCAAACTCATAAAACTCTGCCTGCCTCTATCTTCTGAATACTGGGACTACGGATGTGAACCATGCCCAGCCAGGCCAGAAATTGTTCTAATGTTCTCAGCTGCACAGAAGGTGGCTGGATACATCCCTGAGAGTTCCAGCTGGCTCACAGCCTGCTGTGATGCCATTGATTCAGTAGGTACCCTAGCTCCTGGCCCTATCTAAGTACAATGGGCTCCAAGCTCTACAAGCTGGGTTTATGAGAAGGGAACAAAGGCTCAGCCCAGAGCTGGAGCTAGGGCTCTTTCTTCCCACTAGGGCTGAGTCTCAGTGTTGAGGAATGTTTCTGCTCATTCCCTCCAGTAGTCTCCATCTTCTTTCTCTAACAAAACCTCGCCCTCACCTCAGCTTGGTTTAGCAAATGGCTGGCAGCCGAGAATGGCATTCGGCAGCCTCTCTCTTCAAGTTGGGTGTAGTATGTTACTAAACCGTGAGCAGGCAGTGTATGTTCTACTTTCAAATGGATACTTCAAAATGAATAGGATAGGGCTGGAGAGATGGCTTAGTGGTTAAGAGCACTGACTGTTCTTTCAGAGGTCCTGAGTTCAATTCCCAGCAACTACATGGTGACGTACAAACCATCTGCCATGGCATCTGATGCCCTCTTGTGGGGTGTCTGAAGACAGCTGCAGTGTACTCAAAATGAATACATGATTCCTTTTAAGAAATGAAGAGGGTAAGTGAGAGTGGTGGTATGAATGGCGAGAAGTTGAGGCTAGAGGGCCACTTGAGTTCAGGAGTTTGAGACTAGCCCCAATAAAATGGGTTTGCCACTTATAACTTAGAAATATTTATTCATGGAGCTTTTGTGGGTACGAGAAAGAACAGCCCACATTGTTTCATCTTAGTGAGGTTACAGCAACCCAAACTCAGACCTCAGGTAACTTCCAACCATCTTCTCATTTGCTCCACATTCACCCGGAATTCTGGTCCTGAGACCCACCAACCCACCATGCTTAAGGAAGACTTTCTTGTCAGCTCATCAAGCACCCTGTCCTGGAAGCCAGTCTGTTATTCCATGCCTGAAATTGAGCCCTCAGTTGCTTAAAACAAATCCTCTGCATGTTTTAAATCTCCGTTTTTTTTTTTTCATTTTTCAAATGGTATTAATAGTAACATTCTCTTCAAAACGAAGTTCTACATGATAGGACCTCATCATGCTCAAGAATGTGTGGGGATGGCCACAGTTTGTCTCTGGGCCAGCATTACAAAGAAACAAAGCAATTTCCCCAGAAGAGACCACAGAAGCAGGCACCTCAAAGCATTAGAATAAGGCAACACTGGAGAACTGTTCGCAGCCCCCCATGCTACATAATAAGGAAACTCCCATTCCAGATACAGTCTCCTAAGAGAGACATACCATAGACACAGCCAGACACAACACACCCAAACACAACAAAGTCGGCACAACACACACACAAAAGCTGTCACTGCTGTACGGTTTATTGTCGCTGCCACCCAAGGGCGTGCGATTTCTCCCACAGTTCTTTGGGGGATGTCTTCTGCCCATCCACCCTCTGCTTCTTGCCCATCTTGCCCTTTTGCTGAGTCTGGAAGGGCTTTTTGGTGCTCCCTCTCCAGAACCTCACTCAGGTGGGAGAGACTCAAGCAGGCCTAGGTCCTGCTTACAGCTCCTAATTTCTCCAAAGTCCTGTGTCCATTCCCGGGTGTGGTGTCCATGGTCTGACCTCATCTGTGGAGAGGGAAAGCACATGATAAAAGGGACAGAGATCAGAGTCTGAATCCCAGCTTTCCCACTCATATTTTCTGTAACCTTAGAGAAGTATTTGACTCTATCTGCCTCAGTTTCCCTTTCCATAAACCAAATTTTCTCTCCATTGGAAAGGTTCTATGAGAAACTCCGCCCCCTCCCTCTGGTTGCCAGGGAACTCAGTCAAATATGGGTCTCATATTATTCTAGATGTAGATGACAACACTATTTGTTCATTTATTGATAGGCCAATGTGTTTGCACGCATGTGTGCACATGTGTATTCTCGTGTGCATGTGCTACTTTGAGCACGTGGAGGTTGGTGGACATTGGGGCCACAGAGGTCCTTGTACTCAGAGAGAAGCGCAAAGAACCAGAAGTGTTAATCATGCAGGGAGTCTCCTCAGTGGAGGATGAGGTCAAATCCCTGCATTCCTTCCAGAAAGCTGAGAGTGGGTTTTGTTAACAACCTGGTGAGCTTTTCCCTCTGTGTGGAGTCAGACTTCCCCCAGCTTCTGCTCCAGAGGCAGACCTCACTCAAGTTCTTCAGAATGATTACCCCAGACTCTTCTCTCCCTAGACCCTTACCCGCCTTTAGGAGAGATGTCACATCTGCCTGCTGACCTCCACGGTCAGAGACCACACTAGATTCTAGGCCTTTAGCTCTAGAACCCACCCTGAGGTCACACGTACTTTAAAAGGAGTTTCTGTGTAGTCACACCTTAAGCTTTATTGTGCTCCTGGAATTAGACTAATGGACTGATTGTTGCCTAGAAACCTCTTCCCAAATTGTACTGTGTTTCAAATATACTGACAATGAACTGCCTGGCTTCAGATGCCCTGAAATCTGATCCAAGCTGATGGAGGTTGATCCGAATGGGATTTTTATGCTTACCACTTCCCTGCCTGGACATCTGCAGAGCCGCCCCACCCCACCCCACCCCACCCCACCCCAGGAACACAGCTTGCAGTTGGTTCTCTCCCCTTTCATCATGTGGTTTCATCCCATGGGTTCCAGAGACCAAGCACTGGCTGTCCTGCTTGGCTGCAAGCACCTGTACTGCTGAGCCACTTCACCAGGACCAGCTTTTGATCCTCCAAGCCCCACTCTGCCCACTTAGGCCTGTCTCCTCCTCTACTGGTTCTCTGGCTCTTGTCTCCTCACCTCCAGCTCTGCCTCAGCGCCAGGCCTTTTTCCTTTCAGAGTTCTGGAATTTGGTCAGCAGTTTCCTCTCATGCCCACCAGGGCTAGGGCGGTTGGTATTGGCAGCAGCTTCTCTCTTTGTCCTACCTTTCCGACTTCCCCCGACTGGTGGAGCAGGAGGTAGAGAAAACACACAGAGGAGGTGTGTGAAGTTAGGACAGACATATAAATGGCCGGGAGCTTAGGGGTGGGTAGGGCAGAGTGTCAGACTGTGGCGGTCACCCCGTGCATCTGAAGCGCTCTACCTTTGCTGTTTACTCACGTATAGAGTGAGAGATACTCACTTGTGGGTTCTTGGGGCTGAGGAAGACGGAACTCAGTAAAAGAGACTAGAAGGGGTTAGTAGTGTGTGGAGAATAGAATAGCTAGGAAAGGGAAACTGGGGGGTAGTGGGTGAGAAGTGGGAGGGCTGACCAAGGAGCTGCCACACAGACCTTACCTACATAAGGATGAGCCAGGCTGTACTGGTCATACTCATCCAGGATTCCATCTTCTTCGTCCTCTAGGTTTAGAGGTTGCTGGGAAGGATTGGCTGTTGGTGGCAAGGTGGCCATCATGCTTGGTCTGCTTTCTCTGAAGTCTTGCCTCTGTTCAGTGTTTTCTGAATGTCTGTCCTCTCCCAGTTCCCTCACTTCTACTTATAACACTGTCTCCTCCTCAGAGCACGGGCTGGCTCCCGCCCTCCAAGCCCTGTCTGATGCAATCTGGCCTTTTCCCAGAACTGGGCCCATAGACACCAGTCCTGAGGAGAGAGGAGCACCCTCCCCTTCCTCCTCCCTCACAGGACTCACCCAAGCCCAGCTGTGTTTTTCCACGTGGAAAGCTCCTGCCTCTGGGGGAGGAGGGAGCAGACAGGATCTGGGCACAGTCTTTGGGATGGTAGCCAGGGAGAGCAGAAGGCCGGAGATAGACTACTCCTTCCTATCACTTCAGCCTCTGCCACAAGTCCCTCCTGGGCCTGGGTCATAGCTAGACATAAACACACACACACACACACACACACACACACACACACACACAGAGGAGTTAGTGGCAGCATACACACTGAAAAGGGAGGAAGAAGGGACAGTGACCCACTCCTTGCTAGGTCAGCAGCTCCTGTCACACCCAAGGCTTTTATTTTTATGGAAAGTCCCTTAGTTTACATCAATAGAGTCCCCAGGGACTTCCTCCCCATCCAAGATGGAGGAGAGCTATCCGGTAGAGACAGCGAATACTCTGAATGCCGCATTCTGATTCCGGATCCACCTCCCTCTGCCCTACTTTCTGACAGAGTTCTTCTATGGAGCCCAGGTTGGCCCTTGAACTTGTAATTCTCCTGCCTCATTATCCTAAATGCTGGGATTACAAATCAGCTCAGATCCAGTGTCTCCTGTGTGACCTTGGACACACCACTTTCCCTCTCTGATTGCTTCAGTTTCCCCCTTTAACAGAAGATAACCCTGTCTACCTCCATTGGTGAGAGGTTGCAGGGACACGAGGCCTGGAGAAGTCCTCGAAACAACTGGGAACAGTGTAAGGATTAGTCACCACTTCCATGGTTTCCGTACAGTGCCCTCGCTGTGACAAGAAAAAAAAAAAAAAAAAGACAAAAACAAGAAAAGAGTGGAAAAAGGGAATTTAAAATAAAATACTGTGGGCTGGCAAGATGGCTCAATGGGTAAAGTAGTTGTTGCCGAGCCTGACAACCTGAGTTCATCGGTTCCCAGGACATACAGTGTGGGAGAGAAAAGCTCCATGAATTGTCCTCCGACCCCACATGCCCACATGTATATACACAATAAGTAAGTGTGACTTCTGTAGTGTATTCATGTGGAGGGCGTAATGAAATAAAATAAACGGTGTTTGTGCTTTGACACGCCCCCCTTTGTTTTAGGCAGAGTCTTACTTTTTAGCTGTGGCTGGCTTAGAACTTGCTGTGTACACTAGATTTGTGTCTCGTGTTGAACTCGGAGATCAACCTGCCTCTTCTTGAGTGCTGGGTTTAAAGGTGTACATTACCACACCCAGCCAGTATGAGTTCAAGTATGAATTAATATGAAACTTTTTCAGTCCATACTGGCCTCCCTTGTGTTATTTGTGTGGATTTGATAGGAATTAGTATGAATTTAATTTCAAATAAGAAACATGTGAAATGGAATTGTCTACTGTTTAATTAATTAATTTATTTATTTATCTATCTATTTTTTGGTTTTTTCGAGACAGGGTTTCTCTGTGTAGCCCTGGCTGTCCTGGAACTCACTCTGTAGACCAGGCTGGCCTCGAACTCAGAAATCCGCCTGCCTCTGCCTCCCAAGTGCTGGGATTAAAGGTGTGCACCACCACCGCCCGGCTTTTTTTTTTTTTCAAAGATTTATTTATTTATTTATTTATTTATTTATTTATTTAATGTACACTGTCTGTCTTCAGACACACCAGAAGAGGGCATCTGATCCCATTACAGATGGTTGTGAGCCACCATATGGTTGCTGGGAATTGAACTCAGGACCTCTGGAAGAGCAGTCAGTGCTCTTAACCACTGAACCATCTCTCCAGCTCCTTTTTTTTTTTTTTGGTTTTTCGAGACAGGGTTTCTCTGTGTAGCCCTGGCTGTCCTGGAACTCACTCTGTAGACCAGGTTGGCCTCGAACTCAGAAATCCACTTGTCTCTGCCTCCCAAGTGTTGGGAGCAAAGGCGTGTGCCACCACAGCCCGGCTGCCTATTTTGTATTTTTAAAAAACATTTCCATACAATGTATTCTGATCAAGGTTTCTCTTCCTCAACTCCTCTCAGGCCCTCCCCACCCACCCAACTTTTTACCGTTTAGGAAACAAATGGGCAAATCATCATCATCAGAAAAATGAATGAAAAAGTAAAAAATGTAGGACATGCTGCTCCTAGGTGTGAGGAAGAAGGTTTATTGTAGATATGAGGGAGAACACAGCAAGGAAAAACAGAATCAGAGATATCTGCAAGAGTCCAGAGCAGCCGGGCGGTGGTGGCGCACGTCTTTAATCTCAGCACTTACTTGGGAGGCAGAGGTAGGCGGATTTCTGAGTTTGAGAGTTCGAGGCTAGCCTGGTCTACAGAGTGAGTTCCAGGACAGCCAGAGCTATACAGAGAAACCCTGTCTCGAAAAACTAAAAAAAAAAAAAAAGTCCAGAGCAAACATGGCCAGCAGACTGAACAGGGCCTTGTGGAAGAGATAGGGAGAGACAGGGAATAAAAAAGCAAAGATGCTGGCATAGCCAAGTTATATAGAAATCAGAGAACCTGGGGGAAGAGAAGTCCAGCCTTGGGCTGAAGAATTCAGGGTAGCATGTAGGATGTAACACCCAGGATGGCTCCTTAACCCATGCTGGCAATGCTGAGAGAGGCTGGCTGACAGCATCTGCTTTGATATGTTAATAGGCACTTTAGTTAGCCATTTGTGTGTGTGTGTGTCTGTTTGAGTCCTAACAAAAAACACACACACACATACACACACATCCGTAAAAACACAAAATCAGAAACTATAATACATAAACAAAGGGCCAATAAGACCAAACTATAGCTGAACAAAACAACACGAGACAAAAAAGTCTATCCAGGGCTTACCCTTACCGGTGGTGAATACAGACAGTGAGACTCTATTGGAGAAAACTAAACTTTTCTTTGTAAGCAGGTGTCAATTTGGTTAGGGATGGGAGTCTATGTCCACTTTCCCCTCTCAGCGCCAGGACCCCATGTGGCTTGAGCCTGGCAGTTCACATGTGCATCAGTCCTGTTGTGTCTGGAAGACACTGTTTCCTTGGTGGCATCCACACTCTCTGGCTCTTACAATATTTCTACCTCCTCTTCCGCATAGCCAATGAGCTTGGAGGAAGGGAAATTTTCAACTCTTGATAGAAGAATCTGAACCCTGTGAGTCATGTTAGCCTACAGAAGGTGCCCACACTAATTCTATCTGTGTTGCTGTCTCCAGGCAGGGAGTTAGACAAAACATTCCACATCTAAAAACAAAACTGGGTTCCAGTAAAACCAAACCCTCTCAACCCAGGCCAGACATCAGTTCCTCTGCCCACATCCACAGGCTGTGAACCTCCTAGTTGCTTCAGTCTCAGTACATGAATTTGATCCGACCCGCAGGCCTGCTGCAGGACCATGGTTACTCTGGTTAAGAAGAGGCTGTGTTTCTGTTTGCTGCTTGCTCCCCTGAACAAAAACAAAACCAAGCTTCTGTTTTCCAGATTCCTGTGTTGAGTGCTGCTTTAAAGCCCTGGCACAGGGGCTGGAGCGGTGGCCTGTGGGTGAGAGCACTTGCTGCACAAGAAGCCCTGCATTAATATCCCAGCACTCAGGTAAAAAACCAGGCATGGCCATGTACACACCTCTGACCTCAGTCCTGTGGGCACTAGTTAAGCAGACAGAAGGACTGCTTATTGGCTGCCAGCCTACCTTCAAGTTCAGTGACAGACTCTGTTTCAGGGAATAAAGCATCCTCTGCCACTGCGTGTGTGCACACACACACAGAGACATACACACACGCACACACACACAGATACATGCACACATGCAGGTGCACACACACACAGGCATGCACACACAAGCATACACACAGGCGCGCATGTGTGCACTCACACAGGTGTGCACATACACAGGCACACACAGACTTACAGGTGCACACACAGTCACACACACAAGCATACACACACATGTATACATGGATGTCCACAGAGGCAATGGTTATATCACAGTCCCACACAAACATATATATACATATGATAGATAGATAGACAGACAGACAGACAGACAGACAGAGTAAATTAAAATGTAAACCTAGGATATGAGAGTAAAAGCAGCAGGTTGCTTGAATCAGAGCAGCGTTGAACTAATTATAGACCTTATGGTGAGACTCTAGAGAGGATAACATTATGGAGCCTGGCCCTGGTGGTGAAAATAATAACTTTTAGTTTCTAAGGAGACAAGGCAAATTCAAAGCCTCTCTGGACTACAAAAGGAGTTTAGGTCTAGTCTGGGAAACCTGGTGAGACTCTGTCCCAAGACAAAAAGTTAAAAGAAGGCTAGGGATGGAACTCAAGTAGAGAGTAGCATGTTTGGGGCTCTGGATCTAATCCCAAGGCTGGAAATAAACACAGGGAAGAAAACTTGAAACAAAGCTACCAGGTGTAGCCGGGCAGTAGTGGCGCACGCCTTTAATCCCAGCGCTTGGGAGGCAGAGGCAGGCGGATTTCTGAGTTCGAGAGTTCGAGGCTAGCCTGGTCTACAGAGTGAGTTCCAGGACAGCCAGGGCTACACAGAGAAACCCTGTCTCGAAAAACCACACACACAAAAAAAGCTGCCAGATGTGGTGGCACCAGCTGGAAATCCCACCACTGGAGGCAGTAACAACAGGATTTCAAAGTTAAGGCTCTGAGAAACTTTTTCTTTCCATCTAAAGTGGCTAGCCCACTGAGAGCCAATGTTCCATAAATCTCTCCACACTGTAAAATGTTAAAAAAAAAAAATCTTTTAATCTCCCCTAACTGGTGTAACTCTTTTTATACCAAACCTCACTAAGTCCAAGAATGTGACGACACAGAGCCCTCTGTTCGTTCCTCTGTGTGTGATTATAAATTAGCCAGTCTTCAGATTATGAGGACGAGCCCCCACCGATGAGACTCAATCACCACCTGTGTTGGAATAACAATTAAGTGAACTTCCTGCTCCAGTATGCTTGCTAGCCTGATTTGGGTCATGACTCTATATAAAGATATCGCTCGCTGGGCGGTGGTGGTGCACGCCTTTACTCCC